AACAAAAATATACATCTAATTTAAGCTGTAATACTTTTTCCTGCCATATTTTCGACTGTTAAATCTATATATTTTTTCTTTTACTTTAATGCGTCAGACCAGTGCTGCCCATTTCTTTCAACGATAAAGTACCAAATACTGGTTTTTATATAAATGGGCTACTGTCTAGTGTTGAAAAGCTTCAGAAGACATACGATTATTTGGCGGACAACCTCTACCTCTCTCTATATCTCTCTCACACTCCCTCTCTTTCTCTTGTTGGCGAATAGCGTTTGTTTATTGGGTTTTTGTTCGGTTCGGTTGGGAACTCGTTTCGTTTTGATTGGGACAAAACACAAACTGTAAAATGCATTTAAACAAATACCTGGATCACATGCTTCCAATTCGACACCTGATGGCAGTGGCCACAACGATATGGCGACGGATCGCGTCGATCCGTATCGTTCATCGTTAACAGACTGGGACTACCTGGACTATGGCTATGGAAACGTGTCCCCTGGCCGGGCATGCTCTGTGGCAAGTACGCCGATGCTGAGGATGGCGGCGGCGACGAGTGCGGCGATGACGCAACAGACGCCGGCGATGCTGATGAGGACGATGCTGATGCCGATGCCGATGCCGATGCCGATAGCGACGACGAGGACGACGACGACATTGACATGGCTGGGTTGGACTTGGGATTAGTAGCGTGTATGTGGTGGCCATGTTGGCCATGGGTTAGACCCGTTGCCTGTGTTGTGTAGTAACCGTCACCAGCGATGAGTGCTTGGTTATGGGCATGAGGTTGGTCAATGAGATTGGATGTGGTGCTATTATTGTGGTTAGTATTATTCAGCATATGAACCAGGGACTTGGCACCAGTTGGAAATGCAGTTGAAGTTGAAGTTGAAGTAGAAGTAGAAGAAGAAGACATAGTAGGAGTAGGAGTGGTAGTTACTGGCATAGGCGATGCATTGTTCGTGGTGGTTGAGTTGGTTGTGGTGGTGGTGGGTGTATTGGATGATGCAACGTCGCTCGATGATTTCTTGTGGCCAGCCGCATCCAATCGGAATCCGATGCTGCCATTACCCATAACCAGAATTGAGTTACTGTTAGCTGAATTAGGATTAGTGGCCGTAGCAGCTGGCGAAGCACCCGCACCATAGTGTAGACCGTGTCGGGTGCGTGGTGATGTGAGCAGATCCTGCAGCGATCTCGCTGTGCTACTGCTACTGGTGATTGTGGGCGACGTCAGACTGTCGGCACTTGCCTCATTTTGACTCGCTTTCTGCTCACCGTGCTCTAATATGGAGGCGGCATTGGCTTTGGGTGTGCTCGTCTTGCCACTGGCTAGCGCCAGGGCCAGACCACTGAGCGCATTCGCACTGGGCGTGGGCGAATGCTGTGCCTTCTGTATGGCACGCTGCAGCAGTCCAGCCGAAATGAGGGAATGTTGCTGCTGCTGCTGCTGCTGCGACTGCGACTGCGGCTGCGAACCACTGCCGGCTGAGCCGTTGCCCGTCGTGGGCGACGTCTGCGATAGGCACATGGCAGCAAATACTTTGTTCATGTACAGCTGCTGATTGGAGCTGACGGACACCTGCAGGGGCGAGGTGCTGCTCACAGCGGCATTGGACTTGGGGTAGCTGGACTCCTGATAGTGGATCTTGACATGGGCCAGCACAGCGTCCCGATTGTGATGTCTGCAATGGAGGGAAGGAGGGACAGCAGGAAGGAATTTGCATTAGCTTCGGCTCCATTCGAAACAATTTGAGGGTCTCACCTAAAGTTGCACTTGCGACACCTGTAGAAGGTCTTCTTCTCGCTGCCCTCTTGATGCACCTCGGTGATGAGATCATCGGTGGGCTTGCCGGGCGGCGTTTGATGTGTGCGCTTCACTGGCGATATGGTCACCGAGGGCGTTATCATGGCCGAGTGATGTTGCTGTTCCTGCTGCTGCTGCTGCTCGAGCTGCTGGTGCTGATGGTGCTGCTGCGTGGCCATCGCCGCATTCATCATGGTCGCCAGCAGGGGCAGGCGTATTAGATTGTCCGCCAGGGCTGCATCGTCCAGGGCATTCGATTTATTGGCCGTCACCGGCTCCAGTGTGATGTCATGGCCAGTGCCCACGCCCACCTTCTGGTAGTCCTTGAGGAAGGCCAGCGAGGCCACCTGGTTGGGCGTCATTTCGCCCGACTTCATCAGCTTGGGATCGCCATCCTCCTCGGTGACCTTCATCAAGGTGATGTACTTGTTGTACTTGGTGTAGTTGCGCCGGCCCGTCTCATCGTTCATCAGCACCTTGGCCGTCTTGTGCGAGGGATCGCGGATCGTCTTCAGCCGAATGTGCTTGGTGATGTCCCAGCGCCAGTTGGAGCGATACGAGCAGAGCGAGCACTCGAACGGCTTCTTATTCAAGTGCCCAACGATGTGGACATGGAAACGAGACGCCGTCGATGCCCAGAAGCTGCAGTGCGGACACTTGTAGACCTTCTTCAGTGACGAGTTGGCTGCCTCCTCCTCGGGCGTCATCTTTTTGGTTACCTGCAGTGCATGAGAGAGTCAAATTTCATTTTGACGCATTTGTCGTGCGTGGGTTTGCAAAGTCTCTCTCTCTGTGTGTGTGTGTGGGTGTTTGGCTGTGTGTGTGTGAGTGTGTTGAGAATGGGAGAGTACTTACCTCGCCATAACCGGGCGCTGTTTCCACACCATAATAGCTGTTCTCCTCGTTGCTGGCCGCCTGGCTGCCCGGCGACTTGGTCAACAGATTGGCCTTGTCCTGCTGCACCACCGCAGCGGCAATTTCCTTGGCCGCCTTGTTCCAAATGCAGACGCGCTGCTGCTGCACCGCCGCCTGCTGCTGCAGGGCATGCGGATCGTTGCGACGCTCGCAGCTCTCGCCGGAATTCGAGTCGTACATCTCGTTCGCACAGCGTATGACCTCGGCGCATTGGGTCATGTGGTGCAGCAGATCGGTGGAGGACTTGCAGCGGTGGCGACAGTGCTGGCAGCGTGTCGAGCCCGAGACGCTCAAGTTGAGCGCCGAATGCGACTGACGATCATCGTCATCTTCGTCGATCTCCAAGCGATCATCGGCATCGTCCTCATGCAGCGCCACATCGTCCTCGTCTATGACCACAGCCGAGGACTGGCAGCTCTTGCCGTGTATGATCGACTCGGACAGGCACTTGGCCACATGGCCACACTGACAGATCAGATTATCGTGCTGAGCACCCGTCTTCAGCTTGTCGAAGAAGGAGCCGCCGCCCTTCTTGGCCAGCAGACTGCGCGACGAGCCCATCGAGCCGATGGTCGTGGCGGGCGACAGCTGTGGCACATCCGACTTGTCCAGCATCTCGGAGATTTCCTTCTCGTTGAAGAACTTTGAGGCGATCTCGGTGAGCGAACTGCGCGAGGCATTCGTATCCTTGGAAAGGTTAAGCACGCTATAAAGTGGGAGAGTAGGGCTATTAATGGGTGATTTCAAGTCTAAGGTTATCAGGTGAAGTTTTTGTAGAAGACAAATGATTGATTAAATCAAAATCGTAAGTCGAGAGTCGGCATATATCTAAGATCTTCTTGCTATATATTAAATATAATAAGTTGTGGAATGCAAGGCTCTTAAGATCCCTTAAGATCTATCAAATATAATTTATAGAATGCGTGAAGCAAGATCTAAGGTCATCAGTTAAGCTCTTTACTCAGACTCTATAATTGAAAATCCTTAACGAGGCTAAGATCTAGGGTCTAGGCATCTACACAGATAGTCTTTCGTCTAGCTGTATATAAATCAGAATCATTTGTGGAACTAACTCAATCCAACTCTGAGATCAAATGGGTTTTATAAGCATATGACTTACTCCTTGGGACTCTTTGTGATGGGTATTAGATTGGGCACCGGCCGCAGGGCACGCGGCGTGGCTGTGCCGACGCTGGACGTGTCCGAGGAGCAGCCACCCTTCTGGGAGAGATCGGTGGGCTCTTCGTCGTCATCGTATTTGCTGCGCTTGCCGTAGTGCTCCTCGCCGCTCAGGGCGCCGCCATCGACATCCTCCAGATCATCGTCCAGATTGTTGTTATTGTATTGATCCTCCAGCTCGGTGGAGTCGCTGAGAAAATAGTCGCACATCTCGCTGGCGCCCACCTTGTTCTGGCGTCGTGGCCAAATGGAGCCCGCATTGCCCACGGGCGGCACATGGTGATTCATCTCGTGGACGGTCAGCGACTGCTTGATGTCGGCCGTGAAATCGCAGGCGGCGCACTTGAAGGCGCCAGCGCCGCCATGGTTCTTCATGTGCCTGTCCAGGTTCCACTTGTACGGCGTGCGGAAGTCGCACGTGACGCACTTGATCATCGGCATCGAGTGGTATTTGACGTGCTTGCTGAAGCGCGCCTTGATGTGCGTCACATAGCTGCACTTGTCGCAGCGGAAGAACTTGGTCTTGCCATGCTCGGCCAGCTCGTGGGCGCGCAGCTGGGTGCGATAGAGCGTGGTGAATTCGCAGGCGCTGCACTTGAGCAGACGATTCTGTGGCTCCTCGCCGCCGGAGGACAGCGCCGGCGGCGGCGTGGCCGAGCCGCTGGGCGAGGGCGTCGGCGGCTCCGCCGGCGATGACTGACGATCGTAGGATTCGCGCAAGTCCAGGTCGCGCAGCGTCGCCTGCAGCTGCCGCCCATAGTTGGACACCAGCTCCAGCTGCTGCTCACGCTGCTGCTGCTCCTCGCGCTGTCGCTGCTTGTATGCCTCGATGTCGCGCTGCAGCTTCTGCTCCTGCAGCTGCAGCTCGCGCTTCACCTGCTCCAGCGTGGGCATGTCCGGCACCGACATGGCCATCGACTGGCCGCCCATCACGCCGACGCTCTCCTCCAGCCGGCGCTTGCGCGCCTCCCGGCTCATGCCGCGCTTGCCGCGCGCCTGCCCATGGCCGCTGGGTATGCCGTCGGTGCAGCCGTGCACCATCTTCATGTGGCGCACCAGCTTCTGGAAGTGGCGGGAGGCATACAGGCAGAGCTTGCACTTGTTTATCACAATCTTCTCGCCGTGCACGTCGCGCAGATGCGTCAGATGGTAGCGCGGATTCTGCGTGAAGTAGGCGCAGTGGTTGCAGCTGTAGTTGCGCTTGATCTTGCACTGGGGCAGACCCTCCTCCTTGGCATCCATGGAGAGCACGACGTGCTGCTGCTGTTGCTGTTGTTGCTGCTGTTGCTGCACGCTGTTAACAACAGCTGCCGCTGCCGCTGCCGCTGCAGCTGCTGCCTGTTGCTGCTGCTGCTGTTGCTGCTGCTGCTGCTGCTGCTGCTGTTGCTGTTGCTGCTGCTGCAATAGTTGCTGCAAGCGATATCTGTCCAGCTGCTGCTCCAGCGCAGTCGCCTCTGCGGGCGCTGTGTTCGTCACTGTGTCCAGCGGCGGCGTTGCATTGCTGCTGCTGTGCGAATTGGCGCTGTTGCCGCTGCCCTTGTGGCCCTGCTCCATGTACAACTGATTGCCGCTGACGACGCTGCGCACGATTAGCGTATCGCCAGAGCGCTGCACCATCGACGGCAGATCCATGCTGCTGCACTCTGTCTGAGCGGGTGTGTACTGTTTGTGCGTGTGTGTATTATATACGTGTGTGTGTTATGGTGTTTGTTTTGAGGTCCCTTAACTTGGTCAATTAACTAATGTTTAACTGCAAGAAAAGAACAAGTGAAAATGTTTATTAGTTTTTACTGCGATTATTGGGGCAGATGTTAAATTAAGTTAAGTTTCTTTCTGTTAAAAGAAAACAGCCAAGAAAAAATATATAAATTACAAATAATATTTTTAGAATTTAATTTT